TCATGAGAGGGAGGGCAGGAAGGGTTGCCTCAGTGCTTAGTCCTTGTGGCCCTTTCTTACATGCCCAGGGAAATGCTGATTGTCACTTTGGGGTCAGGAAGCCATTTTTCTCCAGGCCAGTTTGGTTGAGGATCCTGGAGAGGTTTTTATCATCTTCTGGTCGTGGAACAGTGGCCACTGGAGGTGTGGGGGGGAGGTATTTGTGAATTTCCTGCCTTGTTTGGTGTCGTGGTTAAGTGCGCAGTGTTTGAATCTGCCTGACTTTTGTGTTATAACTTGAGAAAGGGGTGTTGGGTATTACAAGTTGAAAACACTCAGTATATCTGGGGTTAAATGTTTGTTTATGTTACTCACAGGAAGTCACATGTTTCTCATGTAACCAATGTTCTTTAGCTGTAGAAAGCCCGGGAATTTTCTCCCTGATCTAGGGATTTGATTGGGACTAAAGTGTCAAGGTGTATTACCATTTTATGGCTTCTCTTCCCGTCTTTGTTTGGCGTTCCGAAGAAGAAGAAGAGTAGCTATAATCTCTCTCTTCTGGTTTTGTCTTTGTAGAGTAAGGATGCAGCCGATTATGCTCTGTGTCCACCACCGGGCCCCTGATGTCAGGGGGTGTGGCATATGAGTTATGCTAATGAGTTCCAGAGCTCTTTTTCTACGAAATGACCCCTATGTATTACCATTTTATGGCTTCTCTTCCCATCTTTGTTTGGTGTTCTGAAGAAGAAGAAGAGCAGCCATAATCTCCCTCTTCTAGTTTTGTCTTTGTAGAGTAAGGATGTAGCCGATTATGCTCTGTTGTTATTTTCATCCCAGTTACCCTTCCCCATGCTAGAATTTAGTAAAAACTTTATATTTTAATCACACATGGACTCTGAGTCTGAATTATTTTACTCTGGCTCTGCTGGACTATCTTATCTCTGCTAAATACCATTTTTTCAATATCTCACTATCACCCAACACCACGTGATAGGTGAGCCCCCCCACTGGGGCGTCTCTACCTGGGGGCCCTCCCCGTCTGCCTCCGGTTCGCTTGGCATTGCGTCTGCTCCGTGGCGCATCACTCACTGATCACAGGCGATGGACATATGTGGGCTGACAAGGCGACATCGCCACTAGCCACCTCGGTATGGATCAGTGGGCCCTCTTGACGACATGGGAAGCGGCAGCCGCCGCCCAGCCAGTGGCCCTGCGGTGCCATCGGTGGCCTCGGCCCTGCCCTGAGCAGCCCCCCCCTCGTCTCCTCCGCCTCACATGCACACACGTGCCCACACACACTCACACAAGGGTGGGGGAAAGGCAGAGCAGAAATACAGGCAAGGGAGGGGAACACATACAGAGAGAGAAACAGACACGGCAAGTCCAAAATAAAAAGCAACACAGTCAGCCTGACTCAGCTAAGGATGGGTGACCTAGGCTGGCTAGGCGGAAGCCACGGAACACCTTGGAGACCAACCAGGTTTTGCGGGGGGGGGGTGCTGCCAAGAGTCAGCACTCCCTTGGTCAGATACCAGCCTGAAGCACGTGCTTCAGAGCACGTGCAGAGTTCTTGGCAGCAACAAGATGCTGGGGGTGTCCTTAACCCCTGAGTGACCTCCTGGGCACCCTGGTTTTGGCGGAAGATTCACTTTGTTTCTCCACTCCCCCCCCCCGTCGTCCTTCCCCACGGAAGGAGGTCTTGAATTCTCTGCCAGCCCTCCGGCGTCCCTCCCGCCGCTTGCTCTTAGGTCTCCTAAGAACGCCTGCTTCCTTCCACTTGCCCGTGAGACCAGTCTCGGCTGTCTCAGCTTGAGGAGCAAAAAGATTCAGTCCTTCCCCCCTCCCGGTGGTCTTCCCTGCTGACCCCACCTCCCCCAGCTCTTGGCTAACCTCTCTGGGGACCACACTTGTCCCCAAAGGGGTGTCTTTGGCCACCACCGGGCCCACTCGTGTGTTCCTTGGCGACCCCTGGCATCTCCCCCAAAGCAAACAGCCAGAAATGTTTCCCTCCCGCCTTACACAGGAGCAGAGGAGCTCTGGAGGCGTCCCCTTTGTATCCTCAGGGAGCACCCCTGGGAAGCAGACCCTTTGCTTGGCCCCTCCTGGCATTTTGTGGAACCTCCCAGTGTTTTGTGTAACCCGGCTGAACAAGGTGTGGAGACCCCCCCCTGCTTTCGGAAAGTGGCCTTCGCTACGCAAGACCCACCCCACCCCACGAAGACGAAGAAGAGATTGGATTTATCCCCCATGGCCCTTCACTACTCAAAGGTCTCTCAGAGCGGTTTGCAAACTCCTTTCCCTTCCTCTCCCCACAACAGACACCCTGGGAGATGGGTGGGGCTGAGAGAGCTCTTGACAGAAACGGCTCTTTTTCAAGAACAGCCCTTATCAGAGCTACGGCTTGCCCAAGGCCATCCAGCCAGGTGCAAGTGGAGGAGTGGGGCATCAAACCCAGTTCTCCCAGATTAGAGTCCGCACACTGAACCACTACACCAAACTGGCTCTGAAACAGGTGTCAGTGAGAGTTGAGGCTCTAGAGAGCCAGTTTGGTGTAGTGGTTAAGTGCGCGGACCAGGGGTCGTTTCGTAGAAAAAGAGCTAGGGGAACTCATTAGCATAACTCATTAGCATATGCCACACCCCCTGACATAAGGGGCCCGGCGGTGGACCTGCAAGGCCAGCGGGAATGTGAGGAAGCCCCGCCAAGGCCCTCCCTGGTCCCAGGCAGGCAGGGATGGGGAGAGACGGGGAGGAAGCAACTTACCCTCCCTCTTCTCCTGCCTCCTCCTGGCTGAATGAGGGCTGGAAGCAGGGCGACCGGAAGCAGGGGGTGGGGCTTCGTCGTGTGCCCCGCCCCCCGCCCCTCACCCGGGGGAACTGCGATCCCCCGCGTTCCCCCCCGAAATAGACCTCTGGCGCGGACTCTAATCCGGGAGAACCGGGTTTGATTCCCCACTCCTCCACTTGCAGCTGCTGATGTGACCTTGGGTCAGTCACAAGCTCTGGCACAGCTGTCCTTGAAAAAGAGCAGTCTGTGTCAGAGTTCTCTCAGCCCCGCCCACCTCACAGGGTGTCTGTTGTGGGGAGGGGAAGGGAAAGGAGTTTGTAAGCCGCTCTGAGACTCCAAGTGAAGGGCGGGGTATAAATCCAATCTCTTCTTCTTCTAATTAAAATTTCAGCATTTCAGCCATGGCTGTTGTTTTCTTTAGATGTTTTGGACTGCAGGGGGAGACAATATAAAAGTACCACGTTTTGCAAATACATTTAAGAGCCGTTTAACACACCGATCATCTCAGATGCATTGCAAACTGCATTAAAGAATGCCAGCTTGATTTTGAAACGTATCCTTCAAAATTAACATAATTGCAAGCACTTTTCATGCCCCAAAACTATACAATCTCTTGTGCTGAGGGGGCCTTACACTCCCTGAACCTCTTCAGTGAAGAAATCCACGGGAGGGGGGAGGGGTGTGCCAGTAGAGAAAAGGGCGGCAGATCCTACCTGCGCTGTGCCACTGACCAATATTCCTCGGATGGCCACGACCACGGCAACCACCACAAAAAGGGGAGTGGAGTCCAGTTGCCGGTTTGCCAAGGCCTGCTTTGCTGGTACTTGAATGCCATCTGCTGGCCACAGGAGAGCATTTCTCTCAAGCCAACCATTCTGTAACCACAGAGTGGCCCTTGGATTTAGAACCCCCTTTTTGTGATCTTAAAGTGAAGAAAGATACGAAGGCCCTGCGGGACCTCTTACAATTCCGCAGGGCCTGTAAGACAGCGCTCTTCCACCAGGCCTTTAGTTAAGGAGCCGCATCTGGCACACTAAGTGTTGGGATTCTTTGATTCAGGGTCAATGGTCGTATTGCAAACTCAAGAGCCACGCTTAGTAAAAGAAAAATATCTTTACTATAAAAACGAAATAAAACATGGGTAGGGTACTTTGGATAAAAGAAATAAAATAAAAGGTTACATGCTTACAGTTCCTCTCAGTAATATATGCTAACAGCTACATCTTTCTATCTGTCTTGGCTTCTAGAAGAGAACTTCCTCTTTGGTTCACACAAAGGGCCATAAACCTTGTGAATACATTGATGCTAGATCAAAGCATTTCCACAAACAAGATGTTAGTTGACCAATACAAAGGTTACAGGTCACTTCATTAGGGTAAACAACTCCCACAAACTTTCTGGCCGTTGAATACATTATGTAACGTAACATCCTGTTTCCTAACAAACAACATTTAACTCTGTGTTGCAATTCCAACACTAAGACCCTGTGCCCAATGCCACTATCAATAGCCTGTGCTTCGCCAAATTGTAATAACTGCCAATTGTATTTTGTAGTTATGTCTGCTGCTATGACTAACTTTTGGGAGCTGCGGTGGCTCAAGTGGTTAAGACGCTGAACTGCAGGCTGTGGAAGGTCAGTAGTTCAATAGTTCGAGACCCGGGTGCCGCATGACAGAGTGAGCTCCCGTCTCTAGTTCCAGCTCCTGCCAACCTAGCAGTTTGAAAGCAAGAAATTGCAAGTAGACAAATAGGTACCACTTTGGTGGGAAGGTAACAGCATTCCATGCGCCTTGGTGTTTAGTCATGCCAGCCACATGACCACGGAAACGTCTTTGGACAGCGCTGGCGCTTCGGCTTGGAAACGGAGATGAGCACCGCAACCCTAGAGTCGGATTCGACTGGCTTTCGAGCAAGGGAACCTTTACCTTTTTTATGACTAACTTGCCATCGCCATATAAGCTGATAAGTAGCACTTTAAGTCTTGCTTTTATGGCTATACCGCCCTCCCTCCAAAGTAGCCCTGTTCTCTGTAGCCTGGAGGTTTGTTGGAATTCTAAATCACCAGACCCCTCATGGAGGTTGGGGTTCCCCATCAGCAGAGCTGCCCCCTTCTTCTTCTTCACTCCGCAGGGTGCCAAAAACTACCTGGGTGATTCCTGGTGCCTTCAGCGACTCCAAGAGTATCTCCATGCCTAGCAGTGTTCCCTCTAAGCTCCACAGGGCTGTGAGCAGAGATGCCGCCTCGGGAGCAACAGAAGCTGGTAGCATTAAAGTTGTGAGTGAGTCTACGTTGGACTATTGCATAAATTAGTTTTTTAGAAGATTACTTCCATCACCTTGTAAAAATCTCAGAATAAATTCCTTTAAATTATTGTTGTGATTGTTGTTCAGTCGCACAGTCAAGTCCAACTCTTCGTGGCCCAATGAACCCTGTCACGCCAGGCCCTCCTGTCTTCCGGTGTCCTACGGAGTTTGCTCAATTTCATGTTAGTTGCATCGATAATACTGTCTGACCATCTCGTCCTTTGCCGTCCCCTTCTTCTTTGACCTTCAGTCTTTCCCAGCACCAGGGTCTTCTCCACTGAGTGCTCCCTTCTCATTGGGTGGCCAAAGTATTTGAGCTTCAGCTTCAGAATTTGGCCTTCCAGGGAACGGTCAGGGTTGATTTCTTTTAGGATTGACCGATTTGATCTCCTTGCAGTCTAAGAGACTCTCCAGAGTCTTTTCCAGCACCATAATTCGAAAGCATCTATTCTTTGGCGCTCGGCCTTCCTCATGGTCCAACTCTCGCAGCCATACAGTACTACTGAGAATACCATCGCTTTGACCATACGAACTTTTGTTGGCAGACTGATGTCTCTACTATTTATTATGCTGTCTAGGTTTGCCATCACTTTCCTCCCAAGGACCAGGTGTCTCTTAATTTCACAGCTGCAGTCACCATCTGCAGTGATCTTGGATCCCAGGAACATGAATTCTGTCACTGCTTCCATGACTTCCCGTTCTACTTGCCAAAGAGTGATGGGGCCGGATGCCAGGATCTTGGGTTTTTTGATGTTGAGTTTTAAGCCAACTTTTGCACTCTCCTCTTTTGCTCTTAGCAAGAGGCTCCTGCGGTCCTCTTCACTTTCTGCCATTAGAGTGGGATTGTCTGCATATCTGAAGTTGTTGATGCTTATCCAGCTGTGTTATCCCAAATGGGATTAAGAACATAAGAACATAAGAGACGCCAATGTTGGATCAGGCCAATGCCCCATCCAGTCCAACACTCTGTGTCACACAGTGGCCAAAAATACCAGGTGCCATCAGGAGGTCCACCAGTGGGGCCAGGACACTAGAAGCCCTCCCACTCTTGCCCCCCCCAAGCACCAAGATTACAGAGCATCCCTTGCCCCAGACTGAGAGTTCCTAACTATACCTTGTGGCTAATAGCTACTGATGGACCTCTGCTCTATATGTTTATCCAATTCATAAGAACATAAGGGAAGCCAATGTTGGATCAGGCCAATGGCCTATCCAGTCCAACACTCTGACTGTCACACAGTGACCAAAAATACCAGGTGCCATCAGGAGGTCCACCA